ATAGGTCCTCTTTGCCGTGTGCTGTCATTTCCATCCATGCCTCCCATGACCCGCTGTCTTTGCCATTCACCTGCCAGTGAGTGCTTTTCCATTTTGATTGCCGTATAGCTATGCCACTGCACAGGCCCCATGAACTGCACATATTCCTTTGGCCTCCTTTACCTTTTTGTCTTATACCCAATTTGGTTCACTGATTTTGTGGTATCTTCTTCCTCAAACTTGGCCATTCCATCTCAAGTCTAGAGGTTGACACTCTCATTTTAGTTTGGGATCCATCAATGGTTGATGAGCCGTCAGTAAACCATGCCTTAGCCAAATGATTTGACTATTCAGTTGGTCCCTGAAGTTCAATAGTTGCCTCTCTTGGAGGAGGGGTGAGCACTTTAGGTTCTGAACTATTTTTTCAGTGCTAACCATATCCCAGTCACTAAGGAACTCTGATATGTACCATTTCCACTGTAATACTTTTCTTCCATGCTGAGGACTCTGCCTTTGAAGAGATCCAATCCACCATTGTAAGGGGTGCACTGATCACCATAGGATAGTTGGCCTTCACTATCAGGTTCTCCATGCCTCAAAAAAATGTAGAGTTTTTTTTCTGAGATGATATTTATCTCCTTATAAGGAAAGTGTTTACAATAGAATCCATATGGTAAATGTAGATGGACTCTTTTTGCTTTATGAAGAGTCCATAGATGCCAATTAAGCAATAAATATGATGATATCTATCGTCCGGATACCATCTGGTTAAACAGTGGTCAAGGTTGCATGCAGAGAAGAGCACAAAGGCAGCCACAAAAGCTGCTCTTTTTTCTTGTCCGCACTGGAAATTAGCTGCCTTACTAGTAATTCTGTAGAGGATTTATTACAATAACCCTTAACCACTGCATCTGACTTTTGACCCTGAGTAGTGGCATTAAAAACATGAACTACCATGCCTTTAAGAAACAAGTAAGCTATAGAGATCTGTCTGTCTCTGCAGGGATGAAGAGCATGGGCTATCATTGCTCTCTCAAACATCTTAGCTCCCAATCTAACTCTGAGATAATTAGAAAAACAGTTTGAACTGTAGTAACCCTTTGAATTTACTTTAAAAAATTTAAATCTCTTAACTGTGATTTTTAACAGCAAAAAATAAAATTATTCTTTTTGTTTAAGAAGAAAACTCAAAAGTTGATGTCCAAAATGTCATGGGTCACGTTACAATCTACAGTCTAACACTGCAGAATGGAATTGAGACATGTGGACAAGAAAAGTCATGTTTCATTTCATGCCAGTAAGACAAGTGTGCTGTTGGTACATTATCATTTGAAATTTTTTTAAAATTTTTTCCTGTCTGATCATGTGAAAGGCATTTATTAGTCTTCATATTAGCTTGGATTGGATGACCAATCTGATGAACTGTCACCTCTTCTTATTCAGCAGGTCCTCCCTATTCAAATCTTACCTTTATCAATCCTGATGGCATTCACCACTATTTTTCTCCTGTGAAAGCAAAGGTAAAATCTCTTCCCCAATGGAACACATATCCCAGTTTCCATTCTGAGGTTAACACATCTTTAAAATATACAAACTAATTTAATTCAGAAGTTCTTTGTACTATACAATATCTCTCTGTGCTTATTGTCTCTTCTCAAGGGCATATAAATATTTGATGGTAATAAACCACTGTGTAATCTAACTTTGGAAGTTTTGACGCTGACAGATAGTGATTAGATCAAATTTGATATTGGGGCCTCCAGAAGGCCCACTCAGAACATTTCCCAATGTCAAAGGGTTACCTTGTCTGCCCCTTTCATGATCTGAATTCAGCAGTACAATGCTAGCCTTTGCCACACCTTCTGCGTACTCCAGAAGGCTGAGACCTTTTTTAATTATCTCTAGAAAAAATGATGGGCAGTCTATGCAGGGGCTTTACCCATGAGCCACAACATTCCCTGGATTTATTAAATATTGCACTGTACTCATGTTTATTGCCATAACTGAGTTTTGGGTCCAGAAGTTCAAAACTATCGAAGCCCAGCTGCCACATTCCTGCCATCACCCCATGTTCCACACTGGTTATGTTTCCCTTTCACAGTGAGCTTATACTCCCTGGTGGATACTTGTGATGTAGGTGGCATATCAGAAGTTGTAACATGTGAAGTGTTGCAGAGTAATGGGAATCACAGGGAGTGTGTAGGGAGTCATGGTGTGATGGGACTAGCTGAGCACCATTGGTAATGTCTAGGCTGATCTCCAAGTACAGGAGTCCTGGTCATCATCCTGCAGGCTGAGGAAGGTGGTCCCTAAGGCTTGATCTTGCAGAGGTGAATGATGGAGCCTGAATGGCTGAGCTGTCTCAACAGCCCTGGGCTTGCATCAGCTGCATCTATAGCAAGACACAAACACACACCTCTGTACCTAAATCAAAACCCCAACTTCAGTGGTCATAGATGGCTGAAGCAGGGACATGTCCCTGAGGCACCTGGCCCAGGCTGAATCCAGCAAGCTATCCCTCTCTGTACAAAGATGGATTTTTCTAGGTTCCATCACCTGATTATGCTCCATAGAGCCAGTAGTAACTATATTGTCTGCAGCAAGTCTGTGATTTGGTTTCTCAGTGCTTCTTCCTCCTCCTCTTGCTCTTCCTCCTTCTGATATCTGGCCAAGATAGCCTGCTTTACCTCAAAGGCTCCTTTAGCTGAAAGGCTTCTTTGGAAGTTCTGTAATCTGGAGGGGAAAGGGGTTTTATGAGCGGCCACCCTGAGCCAGGGTGAAACCAGGGACCTCTTCACTGGAACTTAGTACAGGGTACCAGATTCAGGACAGGAGCTGATCCAACTCAGAACTTGGGTTTGAATACACCAGGTGCAGGAAATGTTCCTCATTTAAATGTTTGGGAAGGAAAAAATTCTAACAATTATTTTGTTACCCTTGATGGGATAACAGATCATGTTTTGATGTTCATCAAATCTTGGCATCCAGATTGGCCTCTGCAGGGGAGAAATAATCAGCTTCTAGGGATCTGAACTTGATCTCAGGTAAAACAAACTACAAAAGGGGTGGAATATATAGGGCCAGAATGACAAACAAGAAAAGTAATGCAATATGTGGACAATACAGCCATGAATTTACGGGGATGTGATTTGTTACCACAATCAAAAACACAGATTATCTTTTAATGACTCAAGGTGAGCAAACACTTTGTCTATTTGGCTCTAGATAGAAAGCCACAATGCCTCCCCTGTCCTTACGGTCTCCATTAGAACATCTTGGGAAATTCTAGAGCCTGGAGATCCCTTGCCATGCCCAATAACCTATAAAGTCAACTTCAAGTATATCAATTTATTAAATGCACAATTTTGACCTATGACCTGCACACATGCACATTCACACAAAGCACACACACAAACTGATACAACTGAGGGCTAGAGAGATGATTGTGGGGGTAATGATATTTGCTGCCAAACCTCTTCTATCGGAGAAGCATCCCTGGGAACCACATGGTTGAAGGAGGAAATGGATTCAGGTAAGTTGTCCTCTGATTCCCACACATGCATTCTGTCATCCCTACATTAATAAATACTTGGAGTCTTAAAAATTTTATAAGAGTACACATGGGATACATGGGTTCAAATCCTACTAATGGTCCATTTATTGTCTTTCGCCTTTGTCGAGTGACTTGACCTCCCTGTGCCTGTTATTCAGACAGATGTAAGTGCACCACACTTGTTACCATAGTTACAATAACCAGTTGAAACAATACCCAGAATTGCTCTAGCCACGATTGTCTTCCTTCTCTGTTTCAGTTTGCCATGCAGGAAAGATTCTGCAATACATTGCCACCTAGGAGGTTTTTCAGTTTTGTGTAATCTCAGCTTAGTGTGCTCCACCAGTGAGCAAGAAGGAAGCCTCTTTTCCATCATTCTCCTTGTCCTTGTCCAGGGACTCCTGGGCACAGCTCTGGCCCTGGCATGCTCACTCACCCTCTATATGAGGACACTGAAGCTGCAACTAAGCCATGACCATGGTCTTGGTAGTATATATCTCTCTCTTCATAAGCAATGCCTCACACTGCATTTGTGGCCCTAGCCCACATGAGACTCAGGACATTTCGACCCCAAAGAGGATTGAATCCTGTGCCTCTTCCCATCTTTCCATGATGAAATGCTGGCATTCCATTTCAAGGAATTTCGGGAATATAATCCAACCCTAGGAACATTCTGATCTTGTCATGCACCTCTGGCTACTACCTGTGAGCCCCAGGACACACAGTTAGGCCACTGTGCACGTTGGCTTGCTCACTCCTTAGTCCAGGCCTATTCTCCTGGTACTTAGGAAGCCGAGGCCAAGGGGCGGGATTCAAGGGCTGCAGTGTGAGTTCTAGGCCCGTCTGGGCAACTGAGATAGACCCCATCCCAAAACACACACACACAGTTTATTTTAACAAAAGTTTGTGTTTGCAGTTTTGATTTGGTTTTGAGGCAGGTTCTCAGTGTAGACCTGTATATGAAAAACTCGGCTACATCAATGTTTTCATAACAGATGGCGGTCATTGGATAGAATATTTGCTCAGCACACACAAGACCTCTGCATAAACAGGGCATGGTAGTAAAACCTGTCATCATAGTAACTGGAGTTGGAAGCAGAAACGTCTGAAGTTCAAGGTCAGCCTGAACTTCATCAGCCTGTTTTAAAAAACAAAAAACCAACGATTAACAAAAAAATGTCAGTGCTCAGTGTTCATCATGGCATGGGTCAGCAGGTAAAAGTGCTTGTAACCAAGACGGATGGACCTGGTGTGGTCCTCAGAACCCACAGGGTAGAAAGGAAGAACTGGATCACACAGGCTGATATCTGATTTTAAAGTATACTGTTCATATGGACTCACAAAGGTAAAAATAATAAAATGAATCTTAAAAGAAATAAAAAGGGATGAGAAATTGTTTAGTAGTTTAGCACCTGGCGTGGACTGCACGGTGACCATTGCTGTTTGACAAAGTTCCAGCATTTCCTCATTGCCGATCTTAATTCTCCAGCATCATTTTTATTTCAATTTTAATAATTCTCACTATATGTTATGGAGTTTCCTTATGCCTTTTACTGTGGGAAATTTATTTTGCTGGCTACACTGGAGGACGGGAACATATACATAGGAAAGGCAGTCTCTTTAAACAAAATTCTTGGAAAAAATCCCACCACCATGGAACCAACAATGTGATTACTATGCCTACTCCCCATTGTGTCCCCCTGATTACACCAAAATAGAGAACTTAATGATTTACTAACTGGATACACCTAGTTCCAAGGATGAAAGCAACTATGAAAGGAAACAATGGGTTCACATCCAGAAAGGCATGGAGATACTTGCTGAATTTAACACTTTTTGCCTCAGGAAAAATGCTGTAATGAGGTTGATGGCTGCTTTTATCCTGGAATCATTAAGTCTGTTTTTAACCTGCTTGAGTCTAAACTAAGATTCAGTGATAGAGTATAAAATGTGCAGTCATTTTTCAATAAAGCAGCAGCTATACTGCTTCACACTCAGATCATGGCAGTCTCCTTCTTCTACTGATACCTGATCTCTTCTTTGGGACCTGAAGTCCTATGACACCGGACTCCAGCAAGTACCTCTTGTAGAAAACATAATTCAGTTTCCAGCACCCACATGGAAGCTCACATCTGAAATTACCACATTGATTACATCCACATGGTACTGTCCAGTATGATTTCTTTCATGACTTGAAGATTACTCTTCTTTGCAAATGCTATACCACATTGGTCACATTTATAGGGTTTCGCCCCAGTATGAATTCTTTCATGACCTAAAAGATTACTCTTCTGTACAAAGGCTTTACCACATTGATTACATTCATAGGGTTTCTCTCCAGTATGAATTCTTTCATGACTGTGAAGATGACTCTTCAATGCAAAGGCTTTACCACATTGATTACATTCATAGGGTTTCTCTCTAGTATGAATTCTTTCATGGTTGAGAAGATAACTCCTTGTTGCAAAGGCTTTACCACATTGATTACATTCATAGGGTTTCTCTCCTGTATGAATTCTTGCATGACTTTGAAGACTAATCTTCTGTGCAAAGGCTTTTCCACATTGGTAACATTTATATGGTTTCTCTCCAGTATGAATTCTTTCATGACCTAAAAGATTACTCTTCTGTACAAAGGCTTTACCACATTGATTACATTCATAGGGTTTCTCTCCAGTATGAATTCTTTCATGATTGTGAAGATGACTCTTCAATGCAAAGGCTTTACCACATTGATTACATTCATAGGGTTTCTCTCCAGTATGAATTCTTTCATGGGTGAGAAGACAACCCTTTTTTGCAAAGGCTTTACCACATTGATTACACTCATAAGGTTTCTCTCCAGTATGAATTCTTGCATGACTTTGAAGAGTACTCTTCTGTGCAAAGGCTTTACCACATTGATTACATTCATAAGGTTTCTCTCCAGTATGAATTCTTTCATGGTTGAGAAGATAACTCTTCATTGCAAAGGCTTTACCACATTCATTACATTTATAGGGTTTCTCTCCAGTATGAATTCTTTCATGACTTTGAAGATTACTCTTCTGTGCAAAGGCTTTACCACATTGATTACATTTATAGGGTTTCTCTCCAGTATGAATTCTTTCATGTCTGTGAAGATCACTCATCTGTACATAGGCTTTACTACATTGATTACATTCATAGTATTTCTCTGGAGTTTGAATTCTATGTACTTGATGATGAAGACTGTCACATGCAAAGGCTTTATAACTTTGATTATACTCATAGTATAGTGTGCCAGAAGTACAATGCTTCTTTCCATACCCCTTATGTTCACATGGATTGTATCCAGAGTGACAGATGACACACCTGGTAAAGGAAGATAAGAAATAAAGAGTTTTCATATTGCATTCCCATAGTCGAATGTTTTATGTGTTATACAGATGTGGAATAGAGATTCATGTTTCTACACCAAGACAACCTCTAGGTCTCTCATACAGTGCTCCTCTCACTAAACTATGCTAAATCACTCACTACAAGTATATGAGCAACACTAGCTTTAATACCAAAGCTTTGCTTATGAAAGATCTTGGCCATACACTAATGCCCTCATCAATGATATCATAATTGGAAGGCATGATGGTAATTGGATGCACAGTTCAACAACATGCATCTCACATGGCTATGATTGAAACTGTGACATCTACTATGGCATTGTTTCCTTGTCTTGTCCTTAAAGGATTGCTTTGCAAACAGTTATCAGCTACCTGACATTGGAGTACATGGTGTTGGGACAATTTAATAACCATCACAAAGCTGTGCCTATTTACACAGTTGCTTCTCATTAAAAGTTCAGGGCACATTAACATTTTTTCAAACTGTTTGAAATCTCCTGCTCAGGCAGCCCCATTGCAGAAAGCCTGCCATCCGTGGGTCCTCCCTCAGAGATGTCTGGGACCATGCCTACCAGCTATTTAAGACCCAGCCCATACATCTGCCGTGGGTGCTCTTGTGATCTGTCTCCTGCTTTCCTGAGAGCGACCTGAGAGTGCTCTGCTCTGCACTGCCCTGTTTATTAAATCTGGATTTATTAACTCAGTTTGATTTGGCTTATTGCACCAGTGAAGGAGGAACCCAGCAACCCGAGATCCAATACTTATCTTTGGTGCACTGGCCGGGGAGAGTAGTCCTTCCACAACCATGAGGTGTGGCTGTGGAAGGCCATTCACTCTCTCTCCCCACTCCACCTTTGCCACACTGAATGAACAGCTCAGTAAGCCTCCCATTCCCAAACAAAATGTCTTAAAGGTCCAGGACCTCTTCCAACCTGCAGACTGCCTGCTGAGCCACTGCAGTGCCAGGTGACTCCAGCCTGTTTCAGGGTAGAGACAGTCGCTGCCCTTGGAATTCCCTGTGTGCGAGAGACTTCCCCAGAGTCCACCCCACACACAGCTCCTAGATGTGATTTGTATACCCATGCCCACAACCATATTCCCAGCAAATGGCTTGTGAATTGGTACTTGCTAAGTCCAAGTTAAATCTCCAGAAACTCTGGGGTGTCTCCTCCAAATTGGGGCTGCAAGAATACTACTCCCATTCCTCTCTCTTCGCTGTTATCCTGCATCTTGTTCTCAGAGTGTAGTTTGGCCACACTGTAATCCTTATGTTTCCATTCCTCTCCCTCCCCAGCTCTGTTTGTCTGTCTGCCTGCCTCTCTCCTTCCTGGATATGATCTGGTCACACTGGGATTCTCCCCGCAATACATCCATTCTCTCTGTTCCTGTATGTTCCCTCTCATACCCTGAACTACTTACTTCATAAATGTCTCCAGCCTGTTTGCTCTGTCTGTCTGAGCTCTCCTCCTTTTCTCCCTCTAGCCACCACCAACAAATCTACCACCACCACCACCACCTCCATCTCCACCACCACCTCCAGCACTACCACCACCACCACCACTAACTCCACCACCACCTCCACAACAACCACCACCTCCACCACATCACAGTCACCTCCATTACTACCACCACCTCCATCACCACCTCCACCACCACCACAACCAACTCCATCACCAGCACCACCTCTATTATCACCTCCAACATGTCCACCACCACCAGCACCATCACTGCCTCCACCACTGCGACCACCTTCGCTGTAGCACAGGGGGTGTCCCTCTAAGATTCTACCTGCCCACTCCACCCTTAAACCTGTTCTCCTTCAATACACTCTGCTACACATTCCTCCATCATAAAAATCTCTTTTTCCAAAATTCTCAACTTGCTGCTCTGACTTACTCAACTGGGCAGCATGTGCTGCTACTCTGTTTTTCAGTTTCCCTCTGCAGCACCTTCTCTGGGGTCCCGACCTGCTAGGAGCCCCATTAAAAAAAATTTTGTTTCTGTTAATGATCTTGTTTACTTTTTATGTGTGGTGGAAATGTCTGAATGGTGTGGCCTCACATGTGTGATTCTGACTAGCTTTGAATGCCTGAGTTTACATGTCCTGAATGTGTCTTCCTAAATGGGTATGTTTTAAAATCTGCAAGGCTTGTGACTCCAGATAAAAACTGTTCTGGAGAATATCACCAGCTACCATTTTGATTGAGAGTAAAGAAATACTTCACCACCATCTTTAGTAAGGGTAACAACTTAGACTGGCCCCACCAAAACGATATTAGGTCTCCAATGTAATTTGGGTTAGACTATATTTCTGTTTGATAATTTCTGTCCTGTCCTAAAAACATAGTTTATTAAACAGGATTTAAAACGAAGCTGCTTTTGATAACTGATACTGAAATATAATTTTTTTGCAATGTTAATACTTGGTATAGCCTGATATATCTTAGGATCACCACTGAAAACTACAGACTGAATCTTCTGGCTTTTATTAACATTGGTAAGCTGTAACTAATTGGGTAAACTGTATGTCAGACTTAACTTACATATGCCCTCAAAGTTAAACCTAAACAATATTTCTCTAGTTTAGATATACCTAACAGATTTTGTTCCCCCATTCTCAAACACTCTCAGAGATCTGAGAATATGGCATTTAATATAAAAGCTTTTTATGAGAGACATGCCAACTCCTGGAAGCATCCTGTATCTTCTCCAAGAAGATGGATGGCCACAGAAGAACTTCCACCTGGCGGCCTGCCTCAAATGTAAAAAAGCCAGCCACACAGCGAAAAGCTGCTTTACACCTTTAACTGCTGCTGAGATCATGTCCAGACTATGAATAGGTGGAGCATTGGGGGAACAATTGTCCCACTCTGTCAAGACAGGTAGGCCTATCTCCCCAAATTTCTACTCCCCAAAGAATCTGTCAGATCCTCTGTGCTTGGCATCTGAACAAGTGCTACCTCTGGGACTTGTCCCCCAGTGACCACAGAGAGACTTGGGACTGCCTGGGTAACTGGAAAGCTGGCTCATTCCTGCTCATTTACGTATCCTTATTAGATCTCATGGTGTTTGATGACTAGGTTACTAAGAGATTTGCCAGTTTAACAGCACCCTCAATCCCAAGGCTACAAGCACTTTAGTAGTTCATTAGTAAGTTTCCTGTTAAAAATACACACAGGTGTGCCTCATTCACAGACTCCATGGTACAGGATAAACTGGTTTCGGTTATATAACTTTAGAGGTTCAAAATTTTAGTTTAGATAAATGCAGTTTTGACTAAGTGATAAACCACTGATTACAAACAGTCTTCAGGGGTCCTTAAATTTCTGTGGATTTTTCTGTTTTCAGCTTTTAGAGATAGGTTAGAATTTGAGAGGATATAGAACCCTGGAGGTATGTTCACCTCCATCCTCCTTCACTCACACAATCTCCTTTGTCCAGTGAATTTAGACTTAAAAATATTCATGCCTTAACCCAAGGCCATAGCTTTTTATCATGACACCAAGATATAAATCTGTTCCAGTAGTTTTACAGACATCTGAAGGTTCCTGGGAAAAGGGCTCTGCTACTTTGTAAAGAAGTCTGGCCTGATGGAAAAAAATATCAGTTTCCAGAGCCTATTTTTGTCCCCAAATATTTTGAGCATATTCTGTACGTTCATTCCTCCTCCCTGGGCCAAGGTCAAACCCACAGGGGGCCTTCCAGATAAACCAGCTCCTGCAACAGCTCTGAGGATGCCAACCAACAACCAATGATGCCAAATGGACAAATACTAACAGGTAGATTTCACCCACATGCCTGCTCATAAAAAGCCTTCATTTCTCTTAACTCTTAATGACACATTGACAGGATGGATGTTCTCCCAACTTCCAGAAAAACAGCAGATGCTATGGCTCCAGTACTCCTGGAAAACATCATGCCTAGATTTGGCATGCCATCTCCCCAAGCTCCTGGGACTTCACTGCTGGTACCCCCTCTCCAGGCACAAGTGGGCACCTACCCAGCAACTGAAACCTTGTTTTCCAAGATGTCCCAATTAAGGGCATATCTGCGCTCATGCCTCACTCATTCACCCTTGACTCTTGTACAACCAGGACACTTCTCAGTTCCACTCGTTATGGCACTCTTCCTAAAACCAATGGCTATCCCTGTTCACAAGGCCAGTGATAAAAAGCTATCCTTTTTTTCTCCTAGCAACCTGCATTCTCCGCTTCCTCAAGAACAGATGCCTGAGGTCTCCTGGACGGCAGCTATCCAAATGCTTCCATAACCATACCCCTGCTGAGCATGGGCCCACCTGACTCCCCATTCCCCCTTCCCACATGGTGCCATGCTAGCAGGAAGTACACAGACTTGAACCTGCACCCATATATACCCCCCAAAAAGTTGGGATGTTTAGAATCTCCAGTTGAGGGGGCCTCATTCCAGAAAGCCCACCTTTGGTGGCTCCTCCCCCAGAGATGCCTGGCACCATGCCCATGCCTACTGGTATTTAAGACCTGTCCCATAGATCTGCCATGGGTACTCTCCTGTTCTGTCTCCTGACTTCCTGAGAGCCCCCTGGAGTGCTCTGCTTTGCTAAGCTCTGTTTATTAAATCTGGATTTATTAATTTGGTTTGTTTTGACTTACTGCATCAGTGATGGAGGAACCCAGCAACCAGAAATTCAGTACTTATCACAGACATACATATATATCAGCTTACACATGAAAATTACCTTCCATGTCTTAAAGAATTTTGATAATGTTCTTCAATATTGTGGTCTTCCCATTTATACCCTAAAAAACAGCACCAGAAAATGTGATATATTACTGGAAATTAGGAACAATTGAAATTACTGTCTTTCATGAACTTTAGAACAATGCCTGATATATTCACCAGAATTTTTTCTTTTTTAACATTTAAAATTATAGGATAGCACCAATCTCCAAGAAAGGCTTCTTCCCTTAAGTTAAAAACTGACAGAAAGCTCACATACTTACCTACAATAGTGAGGTTCCAGTAAGTTTCCAGCATCACATCTTTGTAGAGACTCTTCTGGGAAGGATCCAGCAAAGCCCACTCTTCATGAGTGAAGTTCACATGCACATCCACATAGGTCACTGCATCCTAAAGTATCCCACATATGTACATAATAGAAATGGTGAGACTGACTGCATTGCAAATGTACACTTCATTGAGAATATATTTACATAATTCTGTGTGCTTGATACATTCTATGACATGGGTCAGTAAATATCAAAATGCAGTTACCAACTGATTTTAAAAGGAAACATCAAGAGAGAATGACACCTTCCATTCAAGTGTCTACAGAATAGAATACAGCACAGCAGGAGAAATGCCTAGGAATATATACAGAGAGACATGCAAACAGAGTAACTCTATTTAGTATACATCTGCAAATTTTATCAAAATTATTAACTTCAAGAAAGGATAGACAATAAGGCTGTGGTGGTGCATACCTCTAATCCCAACCCTCGGAAGTCAGAAACATGTGAAATTTGTGATTTCCAAGACTGCCTGGTTTATGGGGAGATTGCCAGGACAGCCAAAGGTACATAGTGAGACCCTGTCTCTAACAAAACAAACAAACAAACAAACAAACAAAAACAAGAAGCACTCAGGCCTCACTCAAAATTTCTCCATAGAGTTAAACATTCATGCCAGTTCTATATTTGTCTATCAGAAGCTGGAGCAAACCCTATTGAACTGAAAGGCTAATAATTCCCAGGAAAGACACATTTTTATTAAGTTGCTGTCTGACAGATCATCGAGCTCTCAAGAACATTAGTAAAGTAAATGCTGATCCTAAAACAGTAAAACAAACACCCAAAGGGAGGGAGTATAGACACATGAGTCAACAGATAAGGTAACACATTTGAAAATAATGTAAAACTGTAAAAACATATACAAAGGTAGGGACAATATTACACATCGACAAGTCAGTGATTCAGGAGATCGGTGATAATTTCATGAATGAATGCATTCTTGCTCTGAAAAATGACACCAATGCCAAAGTTTAAAAGTCATGACATGTGTAAAGTTCTGCACAAGAGTAAATGCCTGACATGTACAAAAACCTGATTCAATCTGCCAAAAATATAAACATAAAAACATCAGGCAAGAAATATGGATTGGCAAGCAATTGAAAAGCAATTACTTCTACTTTACCTTACATTATTTAAGAATGGAGTCTCTACTGTTGGTGATGGCATGCCTACATGAGAAGGAAGTGGGCTGCTCACTTTAAACAAAACAAAGAAATGTGTGAGACTATATTCCTCTAGAAAGGCTCCTTCTCCTAAGGAGAAGCCACCAATTGTGACTCTAAGTCACAAATGTGATTGTAAGTCACCAATGAAGGCTCAGACCAAAGACAAATGCTCAAACTCAGCACACTACCTGGAAGGTTTTTCATTCAACCTTCAACATTTTGACATTGGTCATGACAGGCTCAAGTCCAACCATGATGCAAAATGCATTATGATGATTTCAAAGATCTCTATATTATGTGATAGTCCCAATACTGTTTGAATGTACACAGGTGGAAAAGGCTGTTTAAATGCTCTTTGTAAGGCAGAACCTCTTAAAGAAGCTGTATCCCTTTTGTTTGTTTGTTTTCTTTTAGTTTTTTTTTTTCAGCTGTCTCAGAATGTTTGTGGAAATTCCATGCCCCACATTGAAACATCAAATGTACCAGGCATTTTTAGGGGGACACCAGCACGCTCCCAATCCATGGCATAGAGACTAATTATTAGTTATGAATGCTTGGCCTACCTTAGGTTTGTCTTTGGCTAGCTCTTTCAACTTAACCTGTTTCTCTTATTCTGCCTTATGCCCCAGGGCTTTGTACCTTTCATTCTTTCTGGATATCTTTCCTGCTCTCTCCATGTCTGGCTGGCGGCTGCCAGGCTCCTGGCCCTGGGTGTGTCCCTCTCTTTCTCCCTCATTCTCTCCTTTCTTCCTCCCTCTCTTTCTTCTGCAGCATAGATTTCTGCTCCTGTTTATTCTCTCTGCCCACCAGCCCTGTGTATCCCTCTTCGGCCTAGCTAGTGGCCATTCAGCTTGTTATTAGACCACTCAGGTGCCTAGGCAGGCAAAGCTAAACAGCAACACATCTCTTCATAATTAAACGAATGCAGGATAAACAAATGTAACACATCCTCACATCACTAAACAAATGCAGCAGATACAACTATAACACCTTCACATAAGATAATATTCCGCATCATAAACAAAGGTAACAAATCTTTGTCCAGTTAAGATAATATTCCACAGCACATTACTCTTTCATTTGGCCTTACTTGATTTCCCAGGGCATGTGGAGAATACAGAGATAATATAACAAAATACTACATAACCTGTCTTACTGACTCTTCCCTTGCTGTGAAGCACTATGACCAAGGCAACTCTTTTTGTTTGTTTTTGTTTTTCCAGACAGGCTTTCTCTATGGAACAGACCTGGCTGTCCTAGGAACTCACTCTGTAGACCAGGCAGGCCTCACACTCACAGATCTGCCTGCCTCTGCATCTCAAGTGCCGGGATTAATAGCAAGCAACACTACCACTGATTTAAACATTTTAACAAATTAAACCCAAAAGACTTCAGTCCAGCAAACATGGAGAGTCACAAATCTGTCTGATCACAGCCCAGACCAGACTCAATTGGGAGAAAATGGGGCCAAGCAACATCTTGTGTTGGGGACTGAGGAGAAGGTGAACGACCTGGATGACAACAACTGGCTTCAACTGTTACAGTCAGTTGGGGAAACTCGTCCATGGATTCAGCTGTCTCTGGTTGGGGTCATGGAATTCTTTCCTCTGTTCCCTAGCTGCATGGGGCCTACCTGCCTAGACACAAGGACCATCTCCTCCTACATACATGCAAAGCTAATTAAAGAGTCTTTTTAATGAAAGGGTGTAACCGTGCCCATATAACCACGGAGAGTTGGCGATCCCACTGGGAACTATGCCTAATGGAGGATGGGCTTCCTTACCAGGGAGCAGGATTAACCTTGAGTAGAAAGCAACCATGTGTCTATTACGTCATTATTATATTATGACAATGCAGAATTGGAGCTACAGATACAGCAAAAGTCCAATTAAAGTCTAACAATTTATGGTACAAAGTAAATTGCATGAGAAACAAAAATAACATGAGAAAATGTCATCATGAATGAAAAATTGATCAACACACGACTGAATCAATAGTACATAAACACAGTGACACCACCTGACTTCTAACTTTGAATGAAACTGCAATAAAGACTGCAATGAACTGGGTGGTGGTGGGGGCACACACCTTTAAACGAAGCACTTGGTTGTTTGAGGCCAGTGTGGTCTACAGAGTGAGTTCCAGGACAGCCAGGGCTACACAGAGAAAACCTATCTCGGGGGGAAAAAAAGACTGTACTGTCTGGGAAAGAATAAAGAGATCAACAGAACATGAAAGCATACTTGGAAATAAGAACACAATAAATATAGAGTCAATTTTGCCACATGAGGCCAGGAATCATAGTAAGTCTCACCTTAATGACACAGGTAAATGAACCATCCTGGCATCTACATGCAAATGTGTTAATGACACACACTTTACGCCCTGCACAGAATTAACTGCAGATGGATCCCACACCTGAATGTTCAGTGCCAAGTGCAAACCTTTTAGAAGACACTAGAGTGACCAGGGCTCTGCAAGTTAGCAAATCTGCCTTCCCTGCCTACAGTTTTTACTGAAAGAAATGAAAAAATGATAACTATGATCACCATGCCTGGCATGGTGACTAGGATATTTCCGCACAAAGGCTCACCCTCTCCCATGCTCTGTGAAGGCGCAAACCCTAGCGATAACTCACTCAGAGGTCCCACTTCTGCCTGGGAGATGCAAAGACCTCAGGGGACCAAAGGGAATCACACCAGACACGGTGTCCTGACGCCATTTCCAGAGGCCCCCCCACGGGGGGGGGGACCCCACACGGGCTTCCGCGGTTTCTCCTGACGGGGGACGGTGGCCCCTGACTCACCATGGCGGATTCCGTGCTTACACGCTCGCGTCTGGCTCCCAGCAACTAGTCACAGCCCAGTACACAGAACAGGAGATCCACCTTTAACTGCTGAGCCACAGACGATACTGCAGGGCGGACCGGAAGTGCCCACCCCATTCTGATTGGCAGTCCATCTGGAGGTCCTGACTGGCTACGGAGGCCTGAGTGATCTAAACAGCTTCCTTAGGGACAGTGCTGTGAAGTAAGGGAGCCCAATGATTGGCAGTCCTGGCTTTCACCCCAGGCACAGAACTGCCCCAGACCTGCAGAGATTGACATTCATGCAGAACTTGGGGCTGGACTGCAAAGTCTTCCCTGAACTATTCCTGCCCTCAGGAGGACTCTTTTCTGGGGATTTAGGTTTTGGTATGGACTGAGAAAGGACAAAGGAAACCTGCCAGTTTCTGAACTAGCAATACCTCAGGCGTGCTGTAGAAAACCTGCTATGATTTTCATTTTTGTAAAAAGATATTATGATTAAAAAATAAAGAACTATACACTAATATGCACTCTCTTAAACTGTTATTCTGTAGAAAAAGCCCATCAATGTAAATACAGGATTTACAGAAGTAAACCCTATAGGATCAGGGTGACCTTTTTTCTTATATCTATATTTACTAGAGAGCCTCCAATCTCTAATGACTAAATTACATATATATATATATATATATATATATATATATATATATATATATATACATATATATTATATATAATTGCCCATTTGACATAGGAGTTTACTGTGGTGATATTATGTCCCTCCCAATATATTGTGCACCCTAATAAACTTATCTGGGGGCAGAAAACAGAACAGCCACTAGATAGACATAGAGGCCAGAAAATGAGAGCACACACCCCTTTAATCCTAGCATTCCAGAGGCAGAGGTCCATCCAGATATCTGTGAGTTCAAAGCCACACTGGAAATAGCCAGGCATCTTGACATATGCCTTTAATCCCAGGAAGTTATGACAGAAAGCAGAAAGGTATATAAAGTCTGAGAACCAAGAACCAGTGCCTTTCAGCTGAGGTCCATTCCCACAAGGACTCAGAAGCTTTCAGTCTGAGGAAACAAGATCAGCTGAGGAATTGGCAAGGTGAGGTTGGATGTGGTAAGGTGAGGTTGGCATATTCTGTTTCTCTGATCTTTCAGCGTTCACCCCAATACTTAGCTCCGGCTTTGTTTTTATTAAAAAGACCTTTTAAGATTCGTGTTACAATCTACAGATTTTTCTCTTACTTCTGCATCATTAGTGAAAATAAGTAAAGCAAATTAAGAATACTTATTTTTACATCATGCTTCTATTCATTTTCTTTATCAGGGTCTCACTCTGTAGCCCTGACTGGACAGGAACTTGATCTGCTGACCAGACTAGCCTAAAAATCATGAAGAAAAGTTTGCCTCTGCTGTAGAGTGCTAAGATTAAAGGTCTGCTTCCCTCTGCATGACTAGTAATTCTGCATTTACCCAACTCAAAACCCCTTTTCTTGGACTTTGAAACATTTCAAAGATCCTCAAAGCTTAAGCTTTAAATGTTACACCTTTTTCTATCCAAACATTCACAATGAGACTGAGGTCATTGTAACACAATTATCCTTTAAAAAATAGCAAAAAATTACACTGAAGTATGTTTTGTGAGTTTCTCTCCTTTGGAGTCTGGTAACAGGGTAAATGGTGACTAGACTCATTAGTAGTTGCAGGAAAGTGTGGCCTGTGGGCACAATATTTTTTACATATGAAGAGAACTGAGAAGGCAGCTGAAGCCTTGGGAAAGCAGTTGGGTGCTTACTGCTGATAAAGCTAGCTAGTCAATATCCTCAGAGATTTGAGAAGGATACATTATAACTGGAAATATAATCTAAATGATCTATGTATCAAATAAAATGAGAGTGACCCATTACCTATACAGGTTACCATAGTCTGCAGTGTAGTCAGAAGATTTCTCCAGTCCTTCCTAGACTGCCGTCCCACAGCCATTATAAAATAATTACTCAGAGGCTTATATTAATTATGAACTGTATGGCCATGACCTATGACTCAATTTTCTTGCTTGCTAGCTCTTATAACTGAACTCAGCCCATTTCTATTAATCTATATGTTGCCATTGTTCCATGGCTTTTCCTGTGTGCCATTACATGCTGCTCCCTGGACAGCAGGATGGCTCCTCTGCCTCTGCCTTTCTTCTTCCTGTCTCTTTCATGAATTTCCTGCCTGTCTCTAAGCTGCCTTGCTATAGGACAAACAGCTTAATTCATCAACCAATCAGAGCAACACATATTCACAGCATACAGAAAGATATCCCACAGCACTGCAGTGGTCTCCACAGTTTCAGTGGGGACAGTAGTTTCAGGTCTTCAGCTGTCAAACAAGACAGCATAATTGTAGCAAGAGCCTACAAAGGTATATATCTCAATTTATTAAGGGGTGCAATGGGAATACAGACTCACTAATACAAAGCAAGGTAGATGCACTGATGATCCATTGCTGATCCAGCTGCCAATTTCCTCAAGACCAATGAGGACCAACTGCAAGCCATTCTCCACCACCTGACCCAGTCTTGACAACCCAAGAATATGAATGACAACTCTCCCTCAGCTCTTAAGGGGTCACATATGCAGACAAAGCCACAGCCTAGGGCTTCTTCCCCAAAGCCATTGGATAAATGGAATGAATTCCCACAATACATAGGACTTTGGCTGCCATACCCAAGTCTGAGATTTTGTTCTGTGGAGGAGCAACTTGGGGGAGCGACATTATTTTAACTAGGCAAAGTATGGCAATGAATCCAACAATATTCAGTTTGAGAAGAGCCCTGACAGCAGGTAAGGCATAGGGCAGTTTTCCAAGTCCTTAGTTGCTGTGGGATGGTCTTTCTGTATGCTGTGAATATGTATTGATCTTGTTGGTTTTAAATAAAGCTATTTTGTCCAAATGCCAGGCAGAATAAGGTTAGGCATTACATTCAAACTAAGTACTGGATGACGAAGCGTGCGATCAGGGCAGAACCTGCAAATATACATCAATGGATAGAAATGGGTTAATTTAAATGTAAGAGCTAGCCAATAATCTGTCTTAGGCATCAGCCAAATGTTTATCATTAATATAAGCTTCTGAGTGGTTATTTGGGAAGAGGCAGGTGGGAAAGATTCGTCCATTAACTGTTAGTTTTACCACAATCCAGAGAGAGTTGCCCTGTGCTACCTATATTATTTGGATGCCTTAGTGGTTCCTTCTATGTTTGGGCAATTCTATCTGCAATAGGGAGCCTAAACTTTTTTTTTTTAATTTTTCAAGATAGGGTTTCTCTGTGTAGTTTTGGTGCCTGTCCTGGTACTCACTCTGTAGACCAGGCTGGCTTCAAGAGCTTAAACATTTTAAATGTCATATTCTGAAAATCTCTGAAGCATTTGAGAACCACCTGTCAATTAGGTATTTCGGAGTAGACCAACTTTGCTTGCTTCTAATCACTTGTTTTAGAATTAACTTTGAAAATATATACAAGGGGCTAAATAAGGCTTATTCTTATAATTAATTACAATAGTATTTAGAATGACTATAAGTGTAGTTCTGAGAATATTAGAGAATTTTATGATTTAAAAGTTGACTAAACATTAACTTGTATTTCTTAATTATCTCTAAAAGTTACAGTAAGTTAGGAGCTTTCATAAGACTAGGACTTTACACTTCAATTGTATTTAAGGTGACTGACCATTGACTGGCACTTCTTAATCATCCCTAACAGGTTACATTTAGTGAGTAACTTTCATAAGAGTAGGAATATATGTTCCATCCCTGTTGGGTTTTTGCCTTAAAAATGTTTCTGTATTGCGGCTCTTTTAGTATCAAATTAACACTTTTATGCCCCGGTACAGTCCACAGAGAGACTGGCAACTGTACTGATCCTTTTATAGTGTAACATGAATGAAAATGGGTGCAGTAAAGAAACCAAAATACACATTCTGAGCATGAAAAGGTATTTTCATATCTAGTTTTTTGAAATCTTTACATATTTTGGAGATCAGTCCTCTATCAGATGTGGGGTTGGTGAACACCTTTTCCCATTCTGTAGGCTGCTGTTTTGTCTCACTGAGAGTGTCTTTTACCTTACAGAAGCTTTTGAGTTTCAGGGAGTCCCATTTATTAACTGTAGATCTCAGTGTCTGTGTGATTGGTGTTGTAATCAGGTTGCAGCCTCCTGTGCCAATGCATTCAAGGCTACTTTCCACACTTTGTTCTATCAGGTTGGTTGTAATTGGATTTATGTTGAGGTGTTTGATCCACATGGGCATGAATTTTCCCAGGAATACACAAGGATGACCTCAGCTATGACCCTTAGCAATAGTAGAGAGGGTGCCTGAACTGGCCATCTACTGTGATCAGATTGGTGACTACCCTAATTGTCATCAGAGAGTCTTTATGCAGTAACTGATGGAAGAGATGCAGAGATCCCCAGGCAAGCACTAGGACAAGTTCCAAAAATCCTCCTGAAGAAAGGGAGGAGGGATTGTATGAGCCATGGGGTCAAGTTCATGTTGGAGAAACCTACAGAGACTGCTGACCTGAGCTGGTAGGAGCTTATAAACTGTGGACCAACAATTAGGGAGCCTTTATGGTACAAACCTAGGACCTCTGCCTGTGTATGATAGCTGTGTAGTTTGGTCTATTTGTAAGGCTCCTAGCAATGGGATCAGGACCTGTCTCTGGTGCTTAGCTGGCTTTGGGAACCTGTTCCTCATGTTGAATTACCTCAACCAGCCTTAATCCATGGGAGGAGCTCAGACCTGCCTTAACCTCATGTGCTATGTTTTGTTCAAGACCATGGGTGTCTTGTCCCTTTCTGAATGAAGACAGAGGAGAAGTGGATGAGAAAAGGGATAGACTGGAGGTTGGGGAGGTAATGGGATGAGGCCATGGAGGAGAAACTATAGTTAATATGTAAAATAAATTTAAAAAGTTGAATAAAACTTTTATATATAGAAGGCAATATAATGGTTCCATATAAGCATACATTTGTGGAATTATCAAGTCAGATAATTAATACATATAGCTACTTATAAAAAAATGAGAGAGGACTAATGTGAAAGAAAAAAAAGTTGCAGAAGGATTGTGAATGTAG